TCAAGTCCACAAAAGTTTGATTTTAATAAGTAAGAATGATCAATAGAAATAAATCCTTGATTGAATTTTCTATTCAATACAAATCATTCATAAATAGTTTCTTGAACTATCTTATTTCTCATATCTTTTTAGACAAAGTGAAATAAAATAAAAATCTAAAAAGAAAATTTGAATTTCCTTGTTCTCATACTGGTTCCTTGTTTTTCTTTAGGCTTGTATAAGATTCCGGTGACTTTGGTCTCATATACATATATATATATATTCATATACATATATCATAATATATATATTGATATATTKTATTGTATTACATTGTATTACTTTAGTATGCACAATATAACACGAGCCAAATAGACCTAAGCAACATAAGTAGTACTTATAAAGATCACTTTTTTATGCAATTCAAATTCAAYATTTATAAAAACATTAATCAATAGATAAAAGAGATAGGATAGAGATGATTTTTTTGAATTGAATCAATTTTGCTTTAATCAAGTAATGGTGTCAAGGGTGGAAAACATTTGGGTGTGAATGAATGCAGTTGATGCCGCAGAAAAGGCCTCGGGAACTATTCCAGCTCATATTCATACTGCCATTCCTGGGAGGTCCCTCAGGGTTACTTCTCGGGGGAAAGTCCCTAATCATGAACTGTGGTTGTGCACATACTTGTTCCGATCATGATGTGGTAGCATCTGCTTGTCGCGCGTGTGTGTATGTGTGTGTGTGTGTTCTCTCTGTGTGTGTGTGTGTGTGTGTTCTCTCTGTGTGTGTGTGTGTGTGTTCTCTGTGTGTGTGTGTGTGTGTGTGTGTGTGTGTGTGCGTGTGTGTGTGTGTGTGTGTGCCTTGTTGATAATAAGTGCAGGTGGGAGAAGAGGGTGGAGGTCAGTGGATGCCATACCTGGCGGCACAAACAGCGTAAGAAGAGCAGAAGGCAGGAAGGTGAAGGCAAACATCTCCTGTGAGAGTCGAGAACTGGAAGGGATAAGGAGAGGAGGAATGGATATGGAAATGAATTCCGTAAATGGGTTTGACCCCTCTCTGCAAGGTAAAACTTTGCTGCTGCTTTCATGGTTACAGACTCTGCTGCAGTAAAATCAATTGGTGGGGAGTATGTCCTGTACCAGTGCCCAGCATCCCCATACTTGCTTCTTAGCACTGACTGCATCTATGTGTTTTCTCCGACCCATGCATCGTAAAAACCACCACGCTTGTACAACTGATCGATTAAATGTGTTTGTGCGTGCAGTGCCCGATAAGCGGAGCTGGTGTTCACAAAGAGTGGATCTAATTAGTGGAGGAATGGACACGGAACTAGTGCTGCACGCGTGCTTTTGAAATAGGCTGTCTTTTATTCTTCTGCTAGCTTCTTAGCAATATTAAGAGATGCGTAACGTATGCATCACCCCCTTCTAACATGATTGGAACACTCTTGATGGCTTGATCAAAAGTCAAATATGTGTACCATTCAGTCACTTGGCAAGTACTTTGGTGTGTCTGTTGCCCATTCATACATTGATATCTACCTCTCTACAGCGTGATGACAGAGGTGTGGAACAATGTATACTCTAGATGGAGGGGAGCCAATCACAGGAAATTTATACTATGGCAATGGAAAACCGACAGAAGCGTAATTGCAATCACACGTGCGCTCAGCACAAGTGAGCTTGCTGCAAGCGCACACACCGCGGTCGGAATAAGGTGGACCATACTTGCAAGCGGACGCCGTCTGGGCGGTTCCGCACGTGCGGCAGACCGCCGGACCGGACCCGTGCGGCACACGAATGTGCGCCCGACGACCAGTTACGCCGCACCCCCCCCCTCCAAAAAAAAAAAACGGCCCCCTCCGGTCCGGTCCGGGTCCGTCTGGTCCTGGGGGAGGGTGCTGCACGCGGCAAAGCGGACCGGACCGGACGCTCGTCCGGTCCGTCTCCTTGCAAGTATGAGGTGGACTGATGGTTAAGAAGGTTCAGAAAAAAAAGCTAAAAAAGAAATCATTTTCGATTTCATAACTTCAGAGAACACTTCTTCTTTCTTCTTTCTATTATTCACCTTCCACTACCGACCGAACACGATTTGAAGTCGCTAAAAAAAGTAACGTTTTCAAGTTTTCATCATGTATACGTTTTTGGATTTATTTTTGTATTTTTTGGGTGTGCATGGACGTGGTGCGCTTCACATGTGTGGTGCAACGGTGTGCTGCCCGTTTATGCAATTGCGCGCACAGCATGCGGCTGTGAGTAAGTACGACAAGCGGTAGAGGATAAACTGGACCCATCCAGACTGTGTGGACAACATCTGGACACGGGATCTCGGTGTTGTCTTCCACCCTGCCCTTTCCTGAAGTGGAAATTTGGGGTTGACCCTCTGCCATGAGTGGGTATGCATGCAGTTCTGGCAAGATGCTTGTAGAGAGAGAGAGAGAGAGAGAGAGAGAGAGAGAGGGCTAGGGCTAGTGTGTGTAGGTAGAATAGGAGAGTAGCATAAGCGGCCACATCATAGTAGGACCACTGCATCGTTGTTGTACTGACTGTCGGAAGCGCGAAGATGCCTTTCAGTGTCAAGGAACTTTCAGGTTAGTGTGTTTGACATTTGGTGTGCTCTCGGCTTTGTAGTTCTGCATTCAACTCGGCTTACTTATGATTGGTCTTTTGTGAGCTTCTCCATCTCGAGAATTTTGTGTTCTCATTGGATGGTTCCTTGCAGTGATGAGGATGTGGCTTGAATGAAGGAGAAAATGCCTTTCCTCTCCCTCTCTCTCCCCCCCGTATTATGTGCCTGCTGAGCCCCATGTGCTTCCCTCCAATGCTGTCTCTTTCATGCCGCCTTCAGTCTGAAATGGAATGATGAAGGTAATCCACAGGGAATGTCAAACCCAAAGCAGCTGCGCCCTAGCTCCCTCCCTCCCTCCCTCCCTCCATGACATGTAACCTCAATCATCTTTGCTCCTTCTCTGGTACTCTCGACTTCCCCCAAACCAGATTAGGCCAAAGTTGCCAAACCCTGCACTGATGAACTTTGTCCCGTCTCCATTACACCCCTCAAGAATTCACATCAAGGCCGAAGTTAACCCCGTTCTGACGACCACCAGCCGACTGGATGTCATCCTTCGAACCTTGAAACTTCAGGAAGTGAGCTCCATTTCTTCCTTGTCTTCAATACATCCCTCAAAAGATCACATCAAGGCCAACCCTCATCCTAACGATCACCAGCCGAACGGACGTCATCCTCGGAACTCTGTAACTTGAGGAAGTCAGCTGCACCTCCCTCCCCTTTGTGTCTGTCATCCGTGAAGGTCCCCCATGAGGTGATCAACCTGCCTAAGGTCAATCCTCTGTCCCCGAGGCTACCCAACACCAACCAGAACGCGATGACCGAGAAGTCATTTCCCTCTCTGGAGACTACCACCTCCTCCCCTCTTCATTCCTCTGGCCCCCCAACCTCTCTCCCTCCCTCTTTGTCTGGCTCCCCCCGGGTCAGATGTATTCAGGGAACGTCCTTAGAGGGTGGGGATATCCTGAAGGGCAAGCTGTGTCCGTGTATCGCGATTAACACTGTTAGTGAAAAACAAATAAAGGAAAACTGGATCATTTTTGGATTTATGTGTGTCATCCCTGCAGGGGTCATGCGAAGCTTGTCGGTATTGTTCCAATTCTAGGAGAAGTCCTGAAGGACCGATTAACACACTGTTCCGGGAAGATGAAGGGTCATAAATGGACTATCTAGAACATGGTGGATGCACTGTTATCCTCAGATCCACTGAAAGTTGCTTTTGTCTTGGTTTGGCTTATGTCCTTCGCTGAAATCCTTGCTTAACCCTCTGTTGTCATCTGTACTCTTTCTTTCCCTTTCCTGCTGTTTTTGGTTGCTGGTTTTAGGACAGCATCCAAGTACTCACAGTATCAGAAGGTTGCTTTGGAAGCAGCGAAGGCAGCAGGGGAGGTAATCTTATATAACCTTGTCTTCCTTGCCTCACAACTCAATGATAAGACCCAGCCAATTCTTTCTTCAATAAATAATGCCAAACTTTGAAAGATCAGCAGTAGCTGATAGATATAGACAACCAATCATGATGTGTGCAGAATGTCCCGGAGCACACTAAACCTTTTCAGGTGTGGGCTGTAAACCTGGACTCGACTGGTGCGTTATGGTTGTCCTATTTTCATCTGCAGGCTGTGCTTCGCCTACAGCTTTCCACGCCTTAAATGGTCACCACGTCTTGATTTTCGTGCGATCGTGCGCCGCTGTCGATGGAGAAGTGTGAGGCGTTCGTCGTGTTTCGCTTGGAGCTTTCTGCCACCCTGGATGGGCACCACATCCTGGTTTTCCTGCGATCGTGCGCGCCGTCAGGTGGAGTGTGAGACATTCAATGTTAAATTTTCAGCGCCAGTCGCGGCGAGACGTGCTGGTGATGGGTGTCAGCGGCTGTCAGTGTTCCTTTCTTTGGGTGTTTCGTTTTGTCTCTCGCACCGCTCCGAGGCCCCAAGAGTCCATTTTTTCACAGTGTGCTCGCTTTGGTGCCCATGCGGTGATCCCATTTCTTTTTTTCAATTTTTCATGGGAGGCGCCCCGTTTTGTTCTGGGCGGCTGTGGGGCCATGCACAGTTTTGTCCTGTGTGGCAGCACCAAATGCATTTTGGAGCAACAGGCCTACGAGCCTTGGGGCCTCGTTCGACACTACTTGAAAGGGCGCCGTAAACCAGAAATTGTGATTAATTTACACTAACTCGATTTATGGTTCCACGTACACTTGAGGAAACCCTTGAACAAGCCGCACTTGAAACCGAAACCCACGGCTTGACCAATCCTGGACCAGGATCGCCTGCTGGAAAAAAAAAAGCCCCCACTCAAAGTGCTTGGCGGTATCCGCTGGCACTTGAACTCAAGGTACCTCCAGGAGTTACCTCGAGTTGAAGGGCGATTTTTCCCCAGCCGCACTTGAGTTTCAAGGATGCGCACTTGAGAGCAGGAAAGTGAAAACATTAGGGCGGTGTCATTAGGGAGGGGTGGAACGGAGAATTTTCCTTCAACCCTTGAGTTCAAGTGGTGTCGAGTCCTCTTGTTTCTGTCTCTTATACACATCTAGATGTGTATAAGAGACAGAGTGAAAACATTATGGCGGTGTCATTAGGGAGGGGTGGAACGGAGAATTTTCCTTCAACCCTTGAGTTCAAGTGGTGTCGAACGAGGCCCTTGCTCCATTAACCAAATGTCCAAAATCAGAATGAATCTTCCGCTAGACCAGGGGAAGATGCACGGCCATATTTTTTGTCTTTTGCGCATGTGGCATGTAGTGGAGCGAGGCCCTATCTCAGATAATACACCTGTGAACTTCTGAAATACAGACCTGGCTCGAGTCCAGAGGCAATCAAACAAACAGAATAACATAATTGTAAATGAGCTTCCGCCGTTCAGTCTGAGGCCGTTGGATTTCCATTTCCCTACTTCGCGCGGGGGCCACCCCAGCATGAGGCACATCTATAGATGCACATGAACGAAAGCATCCACAGGGGCACAAACACACACACACTCAAACACACACTGGCATGCGCCGGATTTCCGTTTTCCTACTTCGCGCGGGGGCCACCCCGGCATTAGGCATGTCTGGACGTATCTGACTGCAATTATGGCGAGGGGGGCACTTGCTCTGTTGTTCTCAGCTTTGCCTGTTAGGCTTTGTGCGTTTTGTTTTTTTTCAGTTTCGGTTTGTTCGTGTGTGTCCTTCCCAGGAGAGAGAGAGAGAGAGAGAGAGAGAGAGAGAGAGAGAGAGAGAGAGAGAGAGAGAGAGAGAGATGCACCCAGACCCACTCACAAGGAAGTTCAAGGCGGTCTCGCAATTTCGTTTGTGAAACTCCCATGCTCTTTCAATGTTTCATTTTGTCCCTCTTCTGTTTCTTCATCTATTGTTCTCATGTTTTTCCGGCTTAGGGTTTCGAATGATTGATTCACCATTTGCTACCAAAGGTTGACGTAAAGAAGGCCAGGTGCGTGCACGCCACAGAGAGATTGAGAGAGAGAGAGAGAGA